CATGATCCTCCGCTGAAGACAACTTGTGTTCTTTCACTAATATTTTCATTCCGATTTCATACCTTGGGAATTTCTTGTCTCGGTCATTATAGTTGCTTCTTAACTGGGATTTCCTCGTGGTTCTTTTTAGCACGATTTGAACGATATCCGGTACTGGAGTGGTTGGTTCATATTTCGGAAATGTTACTAACTTTGTTATAGATATTGGTATGTGTTTTCCAAACATTATGTATTGCGGTGTGTACCCTGTAGTCGTGTGTGTGGTGTTATTTATCCAGAATTCCAAATTATCGAGCCATCGGAGCCAGTTAGTATGTTGTTTATGGCAGTAGGTTCTAAGCAGCCTCCCGATCTCTCTGTTAGCGCGTTCAACCGGATTACTTTCCGGGTGGTATATTGTAGTGTGTATACTCTTGATTTTCAACTTCTCCATTATTCTGGTCCATTTTTGGCTAGTAAATTGTGTTCCGTTATCGGTAAGGATTTTTTGTAAATGACCCCATGTTTGGGATATATTCACCAATGATCCTCTTTACAATTGTGTCGGTGGTAGCTCTTTTTAAAGGATATAGCTTGATATATTTAGAAAAAATTTCTAAAATAGCAAGTATGTATTTACACCCACCTTGTCCCCTAGGGAGTGGTCCCATTAGATCTGCTGACACAATTTCTAATGGTTTCTCGGGAATCAAGCTCAATGTTGGTCCCCTGGCTGTTATATTATTGATTTTGGTTCTCTGACATAAATCACAAGTTTTGACAATGCGTTTTATGGTATGATACATGCTCTGGAACTGGTGGTTTTTTTGCAGTAATTGGTATGTCTTGTATGTACCACAGTGTCCGTACATTTGATGGGTCTCAATCACTAATAGTTTGACTAACTTTTCCGGAACGATGATCTGATATTCTCCACTGTTGGATTTGCGAAATAATAATTGGTTATATATCATAAGGTTATGATTAGTACGGCTGTTCATACGTTGTTTTAGTTTTTGAACATGTTCGTCGGCTTGCTGTAAAGTTGGTAATTCCTGGAATTGTTTTCTCAGCTCAGGGCTGTACTCGAGTAGTGTCAACTTGTTGATGATGATGTTTCTTGTCTGGGATGGGGTGTCCTCTGTGGGAGACTGTGGATATCTGGTTAATGTGTCAGCGCCGATATTCTCTCTGCCTGGTATGTGGATGATTTCTAGTTGATATTCTTGTAGAAATGTTGACCATCTTACTAATCTGGAGTTTAATAGCTGGCAAGTGTTGAGAAATGTCAGCGCATGGTGATCTGTGAGCACCTTGACTTTGTGTCCCAACAGATAATGTCGAAATTTTTTGCATGTAAATACAATAGCTAGTAATTCTAGTTCAGTGGTATTATAATTACGTTCAGCTGTATTCAGGGTTCTGCTGACAAATCCGAGTGATTGATGTCGTCCCTCCTCATTGATTTGGTACAATTCAGCTCCTACATGCGTGGTTGAAGCGTCAGTGTTGAGGTAGAACTCTTTTGTGAAATCTGGGAACTGTATAATGATGTCCTCTAGAAATTTTTTCTTGATGTTTTCGAAGGCTCGTTGTTGTGGAATTCCCCACATCCACTTGGTATCCTTCTTAGTCAATGCACTTAATTGTTCGGTGTCTTGTGGTAAGTCCCGTATAAATTTCCGATAAAAGTTGATGAATCCTAAGAACGATTGTATTTGTTTTTTCGTTTTAGGTGGTTGAAAATTGTTGATCGTCTGCACCTTCTCTGGGTCCATGGAAATGCCCTTTTCCGAAATTATGTGTCCTAGAAAGACTACTTGGTTTTTTAGGAATTGTGACTTCTTCTGGTTTATGGTGATATGATGTTGCGATAACTTTTGAAAAATGCGTTCTAAATGTTGCATGTGTTCATTGAAACTTTTTGAGGTGATATGTATGTCATCAACGTATACTGCCGCAAATTGTAATATTTCCGGTCCCAGCACTTGATCGAGTATTTTTTGAAATTCGGCTACTGAATTGATTAAGCCAAATGGGAGTACTTTGAATTGATAATTTCTTCCTCGGTGTAGAAAAGCTGTGATCTCACGACAATCTTCCCTTAACGGACATTGCCAATATCCGGAAGTTAAGTCTATGGAACTGAGATATTTCATACCTTGGAATTTCATTAATGTTTCTTCCATGTTTGTCGGGCATTCCCGGTCAGGTATTATTACTGTATTTATTTTCCGTGCGTCTAGGCACAATCTAATATCACCATTTTTCTTCTCTATACAGACTATGGGTGATGACCATGGTGATGCGGATTTTTCAATGATTCCCAACTTCAACATGCGCTGTATTTCTGCGTCTACTTTTGGAATCCGTGCTATTGGTATTGGATATTGTCGTTGGTGTATTGGGTCTCCTGGTTTGACCCGTATTTGGTATTATACATTGGAATTCTTCGATTTTTCCTGGTTGATCTGAAAAGATCCCTTCATATTTATTTAGTAACGACACAAATATTTGTTTTTCGTTGTTGGTTAGGGCTATTTGATTGTCTTCTTGGTTTTCGTTTACTTCGACGTTAAGCAGGTGCTCCTTGGGCTCGGTCCGTCGTGGTTCTTGACTTGCAAACGGTATGGTGTGGGTTATCTTGTCAATTTTGAATTGTACTGTCTGCTCATTGAATTTGATTTGGGCGGAATATTTCTTCAAGATGTCGGCGCCAATTATTCCTTTTTCATTTAGGTTTTCGACTTGAATAAAATTAGTTTGTACGTATACATTACCTAAATTACATTCGCAAAAGATCTGTTTTGATACTTTGCATATTTTTTTTCCTACTGCGTTGCTTATCTGTATTCCTGTTACCGGAAGCTGTGGTATTTTTGGATTTTTTTGTGTGATTATGTCCACTACTTCTTTGGTAAGTACACTAATTGTAGCCCCTGTATCGACGAGTAACTTGACTTCTTCTCCCTCGATGGTGCATTGAATATATGGACTTGTGGATTGGTTTGCTGTGTTTAACGAATTAATTGCATGCTGTTCATTATTACTCGGTCCTGCCTGTTCTTCATTATTTATTGATACTTGATTAATTTTCTTAGTCTGTTGATTATTTTGCTGGGCCTCTCCGCGCTTATCATTGTTGCTGTATTGTTGATTATTCCATCTGTTGTTGCGTGGTGGCATATTGTTCCATCCACTGTTCCTTGTATTATTCCAATTGTTATATTGACCATTTTTATAATTGTTATTTGAGTCGTTTTGATTGGTCTTCTGGTGACTTGACTTATTTTCGGTTGGTTGATCATCTTGTCCTTCCTCTCCTAATATTTTCATTGCGGTAAGTATGGTGCAATTTGGTAATGATACTAATATTGCTCGTAAGTATCCAGGATAGAGTCTTGCTATATGTTTAATAATTTCCTGCTCGGACAACCGCGGTACTTCCAAATGTCGAAGTTTTGTTGCCCATGTGGCAAAATGTTCACGGTAATTGGTGCTGGTTGGTATCTGCTTTGTGCTTAAGCATTGACTCCATATTTGTATCTGTATCTCCCTGGACCAGAACTCATCTATGAATGCTTTTTTGAACTCATCGTAGTTGGTTAGTTGAAATCTAATTGTTGAAAACCAGCTTGATGCCGCGGCTTTTAAACAATCGCCCACAATGATTATTTTTTCGCCGACGTAGGATTGTTTTATTGCGAAATATTCTTCAAGGCGGTATAGAAAATCCTTAGGGTGAACATCGCGATTATTCCCGTAGAATATTGGACGTGATATTTCTGTGTTGTGCATTGGTTCAGGTTTGTCATGACGTTCATTATGCAATGGTTGTTGATTGACGCGATTGTGCTTAATTCTAACGTCATTTAGTTCTTGTTCAATTGCTTCGATTTTCTTCTATTTTTCTGATTTTTCTGGAGTTTTCATCTTCAAGTTTGTTAATTTTTTCCATTAATTGATCAAATAAGTATCGGCTGTTTCTTTCCACTTCATTTTTGAATGTATTGAACGCTTCTTCAGACACATTTTTCTTAGGTGCCATTTTGAAGGTGTAGTAGTTTTTTTTTTTTTTTTAAATTTTAATCTCGGGATCAAAGTAGAATTTCCTTCTGAATCGAGCACTGTAGTTGGGCGCCAATGTAATGAAATACCGTCGCACAATTTTAACGCAAGATAATATATTTGTAATTAATTTTTACAACAGTAAATTTCATTAAAGATTTTATAATATATTCCTTTTTTGGAATCTATATTATACTCCGAAGAGTTTACAAATAAAATAAGATATATTGGGGTTTACATAAAATGGTGGGAATCAATGACATATAACTCACGGTTGTTTTCCGGTAGTCTTTAATTTTGCTACTTCCACGGTCACGCGGCGGCTCGACGTTGATTATGAAGTTGTTCGGCTTCAGTAGGTTCTGACGGACTGGTTGGTCTCTGCTCAGGATGATACCAAGGGTAACGTGAGTACGAACAAGTCGTTGGGGAGTCTGTAGCACACCTCCGCGAATAACGGCGTTTTACAACCGTCCGGAGTGTGCAGACTGGGTTATTGCTGTATCTAGTTTGGTAATCGTATCTGTAAATAACGGCGTATTAAAACCGTCCAGATATACGATAAACCGCACTCAGCGGGGACGAAGGTGTTTTGAGACGGAATACTGGCTTGTACTTATAGCATTTATGGTCGGATCTTTTGTAGTACTTTTGCGCTTGTCGTTTTTACGGATATGTATGTTTTATTTGATATTAGCATATATTAAATAATGCGGTTCAATAGTTCAAAAACCGGTGATTCTGAATATTCACCTAGTTGGATTCTAATGTATTGGGTTTCATGGGGAAATCATTTTTCCGGAAGGGCGGCGAGTGGTTTAAGACAATATATTTTTTCGCGCTATCTATGTTGCGGCGGGACACTATTTGTGCGCCAGTTTTATGAGGATGTCCGTCAGAGTGCGCGGCGGTTCTTGTGGCGTTCGATGTTGGTAACGAGATAATATAACGGGTCACCAGATGGCATCCCGTTTTGTCTCGTTACAATTTTCATCAATGTTTCCAAATTCGTTATGGTTTTGAACAAACAAAAATTGTTCATCCAATTCAGTCAACTCAGGTTGTGGACCAATAAAATTAGAAAATCCACAATGAGTGAAACAATTCATAATAGTTGAGCAGCTAACTTCTCGCCAACTCTCGGTTACAAACTGTATCGCTTGCAATATGTTTATTTTGCCACTTATTTGATTAGCAGTTGTAGATGGTTCAAATAGGTTTTCCTCTATCTTTTCTAGAATAAAATGAACTAGTTTCGTTCTATATCTCACCTTGAGGTTTTTGATAATACCCATATCTAAGGGTTGGATTAAGGATGTGGTATTTGGTGGCAAAAATTCTAAAGTGATGTTTTTGAGTTGAACGTTTTTTGGATGTGCAGCACAGTTATTAATAAGAAGAAGTATGGACCTAGATTTTGTTTGCAATTCTTTATCCCATTCACATAGCCAGTTTGAAAATATGGTTGAAGTCATCCATGCATTTTTATTCGCATGGTAATGCACTGGCAATTTATTTATAGACATATTTTTAAAACATCGAGGTTTTAAGCTTTTCCCCACTACTAGCAGCTTTCTTTTATCACTCCCGGTCATATTGACACATAACAAAACTGTAATCCTGTCCATTGCTTTTTTTGAACCAGATAGAACTTCTTTTTTAAAACATAAAGAACCGTCGGGTGTCGCTCGATAATTATGTCCAGTTTCATCTGCATTAAATATGTTATCTGGGGAAAAGTCGTTCAAAATTATTTTTAGCCTGTCAACTTTCCAATCATTAGAGGCGGATTCATCAGCACTTGCTTTTTCACCATGTACACGTTTGAATTTTATCTCGTGTCTATTCTTCCACCTGCTTAACCTGATATAAACTGCAATAAACTGATAGTTACCAATTTTCCGGGATAATTCTTCGGCTTTACATTTTAACATTGGCCCAGACACGCGAACACCGCGACTTGTTATCAATGAAAACCACTCACTTAAAGCCTCGTCAACTTCGGGATCTTTCCCTTCTCGTTTACGTTTTTGATTACCAGTTTTAGTTGAATTGAAGTTTTCGCGTAAAATGACTTCTTCTTTGAGCAGTTTCGCCACCGTTGATTTCGGAACGCATAATTTTTCAGCAATTTTACGTTGTGAAGTGCCTGGAGGTAGCGATTTCACTTTGTCTAAAATCGCAATTTTTTCCTTGAGGGAGAGATCTTTTCTAGACATATTGTCACGTTGAAATTCACGTTAAAACTGAAATGCGGGTTACAGAACGCGTGCCGTCTATCGCTTTATTTTTATCACATCTAATAACATTTACACACATCAAAATCCCATTAAAGTTTAAATGATTTTTATTACTTTCAATAAACACAATCTCATAGATAAGACGAAATCCGATTAAATTAGTTGTTTTTAAATATATATGTGTTACGTATATTCTAACGCTATGATAAAATAAAATTGCCCACATAAACCGAATCGAGTGCTCATATTACGCGGTTAGATTTAACATTGTTAATATACATTTGTATTGGGACAAGACCTATTTGCCTAGAATAAGCGGATGCCCATATTAACCGGTGCCCACAATAAGCGGATTCCACTGTATTCATAATTATTATAGTAAATATATCTTATTACATTATCTGATTTTTCTAAATATTATAAAGTTTTTTTTATTATTATTATATTAAAAATAATATATATTATATTTGATAAGACTTAGTAAATATTTTAATCGTATTATGTTTTTGAACATAACAAAAAAAATTTAATTTTATACCTATTTAAAAACTTATCAAAATACATAATGATACAAACATAGTTTTTGAAATAAACCTAAGACAAATAAAAATACAGATTTAAGTTAAGGATGAATACATATATTACGAATTAAAAAAATTAACGAAAAACTAAATGATATTATACCTATGTAAAATTTTTATCAAAAAATGAAATAAATCTGCAAAAAACAAAAAAATTAAGAAAAAAACTTATTAAAGTTAATGAATAATACATATAATACAACAATGAATACATATAATACAATATTTCAAATTTAACGAAAACTGTATGTTTTTTTTTTTAAAAAAACCATTTTAAATTAATGTTGAATATATGAGGGCTCTAGTTTCAAAGTGTACATTCTCCATATTCACTAAATTTTCAGAAAACGAAAAAAACTAATAACTTAATCAATAAATGTTTTTTCTCCATTCGAATTTTTTTAACCTTTTCATATAGTTATACAAAGATGATTTACCAGTTTTTTGCTTAAAATAACAAGATTTTGTCGTCGTTCTGACACAATTTTGTTTGGATATTGTACAGTATGAAACTAACAATAGGAAATTGCTCGTTTTGAAAATAACTTTACTAAATAATAAATAGGTATTAAATTAGAAGTCTTTATTCATTTTTTTTTTAGTTTAGAATTTACAAAAAAATTAGACTTGTCAATTATTATTACTTTAAATATTTAATATTAAATTTAATAATAAAACTCGTTAAAAATAAAAAAGTTTAATAAGTTAGTCAATAAAATATTTTTATTTATTACACGGCGACATTGATTTCATCTTCTATTGCATGACGTTCACATAATATATTGTCTTCCTCAACATAACCCGGTATTTCATCTCCCTCTATGACAAATTTGTAAAAAATTAAACCCGGATCATTTTTCCACTCATTTCCATAATGTGCAGTTAGTAGGTTATTTACATCAGTTTTCTTGTTACTGCTGACAACATTCCGAATTGGAATTTTGGATGGTTTCATGTTAATTATGTTCCTTGCTTTTTTTGTAATCGGTTTTCCCATTCCAATATTCGAATTGTACACGCCTTCACCGCGAACTAACACTACTCCTTTTGAATTCTTTGTAATAATCATTCTTTTCATTTTAGAAAAAGCAAAATGCCACTGTCCTGGAGGCCTAATAAACTTGCTGGTTTCAGTTTTCCAGTCATAAATTTCAACATCTTTTCCAACTTTCAGGACAGTCCCATATTTTGAAAAAATATGCAAATATTCCTGAGGTTCTAAAATTATTTCCTTCTTTTTGCACTCCACTTCGATATGACCAAAAACACGATCCGGAGGAATAAAAGAGTGCCCTCTTACTGGGAATACAACTTCAATTTTTGAAATAACATTCTGTTTGGCGAGCCAGTTGCAACCATCACACATAAGCTTAATAGTATGAATATCAGTAAAATTTGACGAATTTAAAACGTGATGAATACAGGAAGCAATCTCATTTGAACTTTTGTCGTATTCATTTTCAGTCCAACAGAAACAGGTGACTGTATTGGGATTTAATTTGCTTTTAGAAGTGCCTCTCACAACAGTAAAGTTAAACATGTAAATTTGTCGAGAATAGTACGCTTGCTGATCAGGAACTTTCGGTAGAACTTGATTTTTTTGACAATCAAACGAAAAAATCACGACACCTTCTTTAGGTTCCCTTAAAATTTGGTAAAATGCTTCTGCTTTCATTTTATGCACCTTTTTCTCCGTCAATAACCTAGCCTTGGTATCCTGATCATTGCATCTTTTAATTTTTTCGGTCAACTGTAAGCATGTTGAGCAAACGTCAGTCCTAGGCATGCCGAAACCTATGTTGTATTCGGTGTTAAAAATTAACCTAAAATAACTCTCTTTTACTGGAAAGTTGATGTTTTCCTTCATGTACATTTTCCACATCAATCTGATATTCAAAGTGGAGCTGAGATATAAACGAGAGCTGTGTCCTCGGCAATAGTGAGATTCAATTGCCTTAAATTTGTTTATAAATTTCATAACTGAATCTCTCTGGGCTCTGTTCATTACCAATTTTCTATCGCCTCCACGATTCTCCTTGGGTGGTAATGAGGTATTAAAAAAGTTTCTAGTGACAGTGTCAATTCTTCTTCTAGGTTTACAAATAAAAATAAAAATGTTTAAAATGCATATTTTTTTATGATTATTTTCTATATTATTATATAACACTAACCGTATTTTTTTCTGCTGGTTTCTCTTCCATTCAGCTGTATTTCGTATCCTTTTTCTGGTCTTCTGGTCGGTTGTAGGAGTAATATTAACTTCCATTATTTTTGTATTAAATTTTAAACAGAACACACATGAACGAAATATAATAATATTATATAATAAATGGACAAAAGACACGACGTGACGTTAACAACAGCGCACAGTCAACTGAAAACTTAATATTCTATAATAAAATATTATTGACAATGATCATTAAGACGTCATTATCGATAAGCGAAAACGCGTGCAAACGATGTACAATGTATTTATAAATCTATTTTTATAGTAAAACTCGTGAAAAATAATATTTGATTAGATATTGTACGTATTGTAACTAAAAGTTATAGCAAGTTTAAATATACACTGGAGAATGACCATTTTGCTCGGCAATAGTGGGATTGTACGTTTTGAAACAAACTTATTCAAGGAGATTGTACTTTTTGAAACTAAATGCAATTTTCAATCTTAAAATACACTGGAGATAGACCATTTTGCTCAAAAATAGTGAGTTATTCGAATTCAGCGCTGACAATTGAATACGCAATGATATTTATCTCAGTTTTCATGAAACATGGAGAATGTACACTTTGAAACTAGAGCCCTCATATATAACATAACATTTTTTAGAACTGGAAAAAATAGAAAAAATATACCTAAAAAAAAAAAAAAAAATTGATATTAAATAATAATATATTATATTATAACTTTTTTTAGTATTGATGTAAATAAGTATTGTTTCTATAAATAGTTCATATATTCGTAAAATTCTCGTAGAGAATCACCTTCTGTTGATGTGAACGGTTGTATAATACAATGAATCTAGCGTACGGATGGCAAAGTTCCAGTAACTATCTTAGTTCTACATTACGGTTATTTAATAATCGTTTTGTGCGTCGCTTAGACGATTCGATAACATTTTCAACCGTTCCGTATCCGATTATTCGGTGGCTATAATGGTGAGGAATAACATATGAATCTATTGACTACTTAATTCAGAAACATTAATATATAGTTTAAAGGATTTTAAAAAAAAAAAAGTATATATCAATAAATTGATTTTTTAGCAATGGATTTAATCAATTTCCTCAAAAACGAGTTGCAAAAAACTAGGAAAGAAATAGCTGATGGAGAAGAAAGATCAATTCAAACGGAGATAGAGAAAAATAATGAAATAGTTTTAATGAAAATAAAAATAAAAAATATACGATACCAAAAATACTTAGCTAAAAAGTTATTAGATATAGAAAAAATTAAAATTTTAAATAAACAAATAATCAAATTACAAAATGAAATAAAAGTTATTATTCAATTTTATAAGGTGTATGATGATAACAGTTTTCATAGTCTGAGGGAACGTTATTCTCATTACAGCGATACCTCTAATTTATTACGTAATAATCTAAAACCATTATCAGAATTATTTAATCTTGATCTAAATTTTGATTGTATATATTAATGTTTTAAAAAAATGATTATATTATTATTTAAATTATACTTTTAAAAATAATGTTTTTAATAATCTACATAATAAACTATATATACATTTAAAAAGAAAAAAGTGTTTTTTATTTTTAGTTTAATTATGAAAAGATCAGTAATCACAAAATACCAACGTATGAATACGAGTGGAAGCGGACTGATCGAAATCGAAAGGTTTAAAAAATGTTCAAAAACGTTCATTATAAAGAACAGTCAAAAATATGTGGATTATAAATTATTTTTTAGTTATATTTTAGATAAGCTTATTTTAAAGTTAAAACAGTCATCACAAAAAACAGCAATCAAATTCAATTTACATGTTGATGCTGTTTATGAACGTCCGGTAACCCATGATATTCAAGATATAGCTTTTAAATCATCAAATATTTTAACATGCAATTCATCTGATTTTACAAGTTTACTAAATAGTATGTTCAATAAAATATTAACTGAGGAATCAGAATTTATTGCAAAAGGTTCAGGTTGGTCTCTTGTATCAATAGATGGGTTACAGTTAAGAATTAATTTGGTAAACCCTCTAAAAGGGAGTTCATATATTGATTTACCGTTATTTCTAAAAGAAAAAAGAGCGATTGTTAATGTTAAAAATAAGGATAATTACTGTTTTAAATATTCTATATTAAGTAAATATGATAAGCGTTCAAATAAATCTCGTTTTAACCAAATATATTTTAATTTTTTAGAAAAAATGA